CAAAGAACCAACTAGAAACATTCACACCAAGACTGCCAACCTCCCACACCTGCAGGATTTTACTGTTATTTCTTTACCTCTTTAGGCTGTTCAGAGTGCCTGGCTGCTATTCAGACATACAGGAGACAATACTATTAATACCWAGACAATCCTTGTAACTAAGTGAGATTAAATATATGGAGAAGAGTCCTGCAGAAACATTTAACAGGACACGATCCAAACTCTGTGTGCTAATCTCATAAGCAGTTTTACTGGAGCACAGAAATTTAACTAGTTTATTTTACTTCTATCATTTTTCCTACAGAAAAGAAGAATGCTCTCTAACTTCTGTTTTGCAAATGGAACATATTGTTGGGAAAAAAAAAGAGAAAAAAAGGCAAGTTTTGAAACTTAAACTACACACAAAATGTTCTGATATAATTTATATCCTTTCATAAGTGAAAAAGCCAATTTAAAAGTTTAGAAGACAAACAGCATGGTTGTCTTTTGATTAGGAGGAAATTAAGTTCAGCAGAGGTAATGACAGGAGAAGTTGACTCTGAGAACGCAAAACAGAGTAGAAATATTTCAGGGTATTACAGTTAAATCATGTAATACCWGCAAAACTCTTGTCTCTACGCTGACCTACACCCAGACAGTTCTAAAGGTGAGAACCACTACAAGATAGCTGGGTTTAATTTCTTTTTTTCTTGTAAAGTAGCAACATAGCTTTCTACTGTTGTACATTCYGCTAATGTTTTCTTTCTTTTTAACAGAAGCCCAATCATTATTGCAGTCTGTTCTATGAAGAATAATGAACCTTTTAGAGGCTCATTCACCAAATTATCCCACTTCTTTCTGAATAAATAGTTCCAAAGATTCTGAAACACATGAAAGGTGAAGCCATAACAGAAAGTTTTAAKTGCAGATCAATGCAATTCGAAGCAATATGAAAATGGACACTGAAAATCCCTTTAGYAGCCATGGAGTGTATTCCACATAATTCTCACTGTTACCTCAGCTTCTTGCCAGCTTCTTTGCAGGAGATGACCTGTGTATACCAACGTGTAAATAAAAATAGGTGGGAAGTCACACAACAATGAAGCACACCTGCCAACTGGACACATCAAACCACACACAGTGAGTTCAGAAACCAGCAAAAAYAATCTGGTTACCACAAAACCAAATTGGTATGTATTTAAATGAAGGATCCTAAAATGTTCTATTTTTCATCCGATGTGCAGCAAGTGTAACTTAGTAGCAGTGGTATATGTAAATGGTTTCTCACTAGGTCAAAAATTAAAAAAATAAGTCATTTATACATATTTATCAAGTTTGGATTTTGGAATAAAAACTGGAAGACACACATACTGATGACTGGATTGCARTATTTCTATTTCTAGGGCTCCCCAGTGTTCCTAAAATTTAGAAATTGACAAAATAAAACTGAGGAATAAAAGAGTAATAAAATAGCAACAATAAGAAGTTAGGAATAGAAAAACCACAAATCATTTGTTGGTGCCAAGAGACATTAATCTTCCTTCATGAAAGTARGCTGGAAAATACCATAGTAACATGCATTTCTGATACTTCTGATACTCAAGACTTCTCTCATTCACAGTTCAGTAGTAACCAAATATTGTAAAATAAATATTGCATTCTTTCCGTCCTTACACCACATTTTCATATAAGAGATAATGCCATGAAACAGTTGATATCACATGCCAGCTGCGTATTTATTTTTCTTTTTTTGTATGAATTAAACATAAAAGAATGCTCTGAAAAATCAGTCTGTAATGATATGAACTTTTCCGTTTCCCATATGCACAAATTAAGTTTTATTCCTGACAGTGATACAGGACTTATTTTCTTTTTAAACAACAAAGCTTAACTCTCCTGCAGTATAGATGTGTAAATGTTTTACTACYTGTTTATGAGCTCCTATGAGCCAACGGTCTACCTGCATAAATTAAAAATCATTCTCTGCCACAAACTTGATTGTAAACATCTTAAGCCCTCTCCCCCCTTTTTTTTTAAAGTTTTTGTCCTAAACTTTAAGTTAATGAGCATTGAAACTGCTTTTCATGACAGCTGGATGATGCAGAACAGATGTTGAGCTAAAATTTCATTTGCCAAATGTCAGCCCAGAACACATATTTAAAATTGGGAGTATCAGTAACACAAACTACATGGTGAAAACAACGGAAAAAATTGTCAATTACATTAGTTCCTGCCAACCATTTTTTTGGGCCTTAAGACAGAAATTCTGTCTGAATTGAAGATTCCAGAAAATTATGTTTAAGTTTAGGAATGCTAATTGCTTATTAGGGTGAYTACAGTATCTTCTGGATATCTATTTTTCATCTTGAACTGACTGACACATAGGAAATGCTAATCACAAGCCTGCAAATAGTGTGCTTTTKTCTTGCAGATTTTCCTCTGCCACTGAACGTTTTTGTGGAGCTCTGGGTGGACAGGTATGTTTGATATCTGAAAATGATGCCTGGCATTGCCCTCCACAATTTGTGACAGCCACAAAACACTCCAATCAAGCAGCCAACAAAAGCAGCAACAGGGCTGTAAGGAAACTTGTGACTTCTCAGATGACAAAGTGCAGCTGCTGACCAACATGAGTATTTTTTTCTTGCTGTGTAAGGTGTAACTGCTAACCTTTTGGGGCATACACCACAACTTAACACAGCCACTGAAAGCCTGTATTACATTTGGGTCATGTTTTTCTTTTCCTGGTGGTATCTCCCACATTCTACCCTTAAATAATTTTTGTCCTTCCATACTATTTTTGAGGCATCTGCAAAGTCTTTCATCTTATCATTTCCACACTTGTAATTTATCAATATTTTTGTAATTGATTCATAGGAATCAGCATTTTAAAAGCCCTCTGATTGCTTTTGTTACTTTTCTCCAAACTCCATTCAAACGTTCAGTGTCTTTCCAGTAGCTGAATGATCAGCAAGTGCTGTAGGCCAAGAGAGTTTCACAAGTCAGTCTGCCCCAGTGGAGCACAGCTTTTGGGAACCAAGGCATAAGATAATCAAGTGTTTCTGACATTTCTTTATGAGAATTATTCAAACCAACAAGCAAGGGCAGAAACACTAAGATACACCACACCCAGCCCACGGGTCAAATGAATGAGATAATGAGTAATGCAACTTATTYACACAGGTTTTGTACAAATTTCCAATCCATCTAATAGTAATCAGTAATAATATTTATTGATCCAATCTAAAGGGTTTATGAAGTTCAATTTATACCTAGATGCCTGCTGGCTCCTACTTTACCTACAGAAATCAATACTCATGAATGCACAAATGGTATCACAAGGCAAGGAAGAGCCAAAAAAAAGCACCTGAAAAATCTGCAAGAAGAAATCTTCTTTTACAAGGACATATCCTATACATTAAACTGGCTAACAGCTGCAAAGTGATAGCAGATCAACTGAACAAAAATAACCTTTTCTTTAAATGATATTATGTCCAAGACCTGTAGAGATACTGTAAATATGTCTTTCCTGTCCAGAGGGAAGGGCATCTTCAACACCAGCATGCTTCTCCTAAGAGCATTTCATGAGATTACAGTAATTTCTCCTCTGGTTTAGTGCACTCCTAATCCAAGTTTCTTTAAGTTTGAACACAAGACAATTACAAAGTAAAGCTCTTTTTTCTACATGGACTYTTATATTCTGGAACACAAATATAATACCCTGTCTCAGAAAAAGACATTTTTTCTCTCATTACCAGTGTTTGCTTTGGAGCAGGGGGAAGAAGTGGAACAAATAAATTCATATWTTTTTTTCAAATTCCTGTTGTCAAAGCTAAGGAGGGGAAAAAAGGTTGAAGACAGAAGTTTTCTGAMCAAGTAAAACTCTCCAAGCAGTAAAATTTCTCATGTGCTGTAAAATGTTAACTGCTGTTCTGTTCCTGGGTGGAGATAGAGAAAGAACTGCTATAACACTGAACAAGTAGAGAATCAATTTATGAATTTTCTTTTTTCTTTTTTTTTTTTTTTTTTTTTTGGGAAGTTTTTTTCCAACTGTTACCTAAACACTCCCAGCATTTTTGTTGCAGGCAAATTTTTGGACTCTCCTATCATTAAATTACACATTACCAGAAACAAACAAACAAACAAATAAATAAATCACACCATCTGCCTAAGAAAAACCTTGGTAAATCAACAGTTTTAACAAGTTTAAACTCAAGTTACCAAAGAGGATTGCTTTCTTTTCCCTCAGAAAACTGAATAAAATCAYTAAATGCATTGAGGATTCCAGCTAGCATTTCTGTTGCTGTTATAAGGAAGTCAAATAATTTGCCAGAAAACTCTCTTTCTAATCTATCTGCCTGTTGGGGCTATAAAGTTTCCTCCTTGCACCTTTCCTAAGTAGATGAGGATGGTCATAAACAACATTAAAACTGTTGCTAAATATCTGAAAAGCATGCACAGTGACAACCATTTCTGCAAAGCTGTAATCATACATTCTTTTACCACATACTGGCATTGGAAGCCTGTACAACACACGGGGTGAAACACAAATCTGGTTACATGTTGCTTTCACATTGCTCAGTCTCCTTACACAATACCAAAATATCCTTTTCTGCAGCATTCATAAGCATTACATGTAGACAAACCAAGAACTGCAACAACTTCTGCCCAAGGAACAACTTCAAAATCCAATCCACAATGGCTACAGACTCAAAACAGTCACACCACTCCTCCCATTTCCAGAGAAAATTACTTTTCTTAAGCTTTTGAGGGGTGGCACTACCAAAAAAAAGGCTACACACACATATTCAAGACCACACCTATCATTTCATTGCATGGAACAGCTCATGAGAGCATTCCAAGGTGAAGCATTTAGGACAGTGCTGTCATGCAAAGCCTTTCGTGTACCACCACAGGTATTTTTTTTTAAATATCCAACAGCAGAAACGCGCAAAGCAAACCGCAATCACGAACCTCCGCACGAGCGAGAAATAGAAGACAATGAAGAAGGTTTCACCCACCTGGGATCTTTCTGAATGCTATCAATGGAAGGTGACCTAGCCAAGGTCCCTTCGGGTGGGATGGCTGGCCCAGATTTGCTGTATGGTGATTCAACAGAAGGACAATACTGCAGCTGTCGGTAGGGGTCTGCGTAATTGGAGGCTGGGCCGGCCGCATAGCTGGCCCTCTGGAAGGTCGCGGTTGCGTTCTGTGTGCCGTGTTGACTGCCTGTGCGCTGTAAGGGTACGGAGTCGACACCAGGGGAAGATGGGGCTACGACAGGAAAGTAGGGACAAAGTAAAAAATTGAGGACCTGTTCACAGAAATGGTTAACCAGGTCTAGGCAGAGGAAAAAATAAAACACACACATATAAAACGAGGGTTCAAAAAGAATGAGAAAAAAAACAAACAAAAAGAAACAAGCAACATTGTCATTTTCAAAACCTTCAAAGGAAATAACCAGCAAACAAATYTCTAAATGACATGCCAGTTTTGGACTAGAAGACCTTAACATCAGTTAAACAGATTGGAGCGGTGTTTTCACCTGGGGTTCTGACTGCACTAACACGAAATGAAGGAAGTACAGAAGCAGCAAGGGAATAGTCAAGCTAAGGTTCACAACCACCACTGAGCGAGGCTTCTGCAGTCCTTACAGGGGTGGAAGTTACTCAGGTCCACCAGCAGAAGGACGATCAAAACAGGCTCAAGAGTCCAAACTGAGACAGATGACTCTAGGCAGAAGAAACACCCAGCCACCCCAGATTTGCAGCCCGGGTATCCATAAAGCAGGTAAAACCAGACACCTGATACTGAGAATCACCACATAKGCTTTGTTAACCCATCTTCTGTAAATTTCACCTTGAGTTACGACTTAGGAGACTGTTACTGCTAGCTCAATCTGCAAGAGAGCTAAGCRCAAGGTGACCATGTAGACGTCTTAATGCAAGCCAGCAATGGCTGTGCTCACACACCACAGCTCAAGATTAATGCATTACCAGTTCTGAGCAGCTTAACCAATAGCTTTAAACTGACTTAATGCTTTTGCGACTCAGAAATCTTATTAATCTCTCTCATAGCCCATTATCTTTTTGTTACAGCACTGGGTAGCAGAGATCCAGTCCACTGGATTAAACATGCAGTATTTTTGAACCAAAGTCCAGTTAATGGCAAATGGATTATCACTGTAAGGCCAGAGACCAATACCCACGTGATCTTTGGCCTGGAGACAGATAAAAAATAAATGCTGGCTCTGCTCAGAAGAAAATTTGTGCTGCTTGAAGTGGCACATGAACTCATGGTGGTTGCCATTTTCTCCCATCCCAAGACAATAAGAATACTTTTGCCAAAAGGAGTGGCCTGAGTCCAGGGCTATTTTTAGCTGGGCCAAATTCATATGCTAAATTGTAGACAAAACCACATGATGAAGAGACAGGTTTTTTAACAGATTTACCAATCATTGTTCATTGGCATGCACATTAAAAGAAATATTTAATGCATWATAGGTCCATGAAAGAGATTTTAAGCATTTTATCTCAAAGTGTCAGCAAATGAAAAACAGTGAGCTTTAAATACAATTACCACAGTTTTGTATGATCTGGTACTTGCCAAAGTTAAAAAACCTGAAAATTTTAAATTTATATAAAATCTTTGACTTATTTTCTAATTTTTTGTTTATGATTCTGAAGTATTTAATTTTACAAYAGCAAGTATTGTAACTTCATTATAAACATAAGAAAGTGGGTTCACACACTTATCTATTATCCCATCCCTGGAAGGGCTCAGGGTCAGGTTGAATAGAGTTTGAGCAACCTAATCTAGTTGAAGGTGTCTCTGCTGGATGACTGGATGACTCTAAACCAGTCTATGTATCTACCAACATTTACTCACATACATAGCAACATTTTACATGTATTGTTTTGGTTTAATTATTAGCATATATATATATATATATATACATATACACCTCCTTAAGAAATGAGTAATGCGACACACAGACCTTTTCAGTTCAAGTGCATTAACAGTATTAGCATATTTAAAACATTCCATGCACAATTCATGCTAAATTCAGTGTTAGAAAGAAAGGCAAACATCACACTTTAACAGAAAATAGAGAGTTTAAAACCAGTATCGGGTGCCTTGTGAGAAAAAGAGTAATAAAACAAGTTAGAGAAAATACTGGAAATATTTTCAAATGAAAAAGTGAAAAYGTAATTTTATACTGACATGGCATACTCTTAAGCACTGTCACTCCATAGAATATGTTGCTACCTTTTGACAGATTATATGGGTAATTGCAAAAAAACTCTACAACACCARTTCTGCTGAAAACAAGAACTTGATTGTAATGTTGATTGCTTTGCAAAATATTCCACAGTATTTCCTTCATCTTCTTTGCAAGACAGTTAATGGATATTGTGTTTGGTTTTAAGTTATATAAAAAGTTTTCTTTCTATTTTCTCCTTTGTCTCGTTATCAAAATAGGTATTTATATGAACTGAAACTGTCTGTCATCCTAACACCTACAAGCTTCTCAAGTCACTCTGATTCGTTTCTCAAATTATCTTCCTAGCAGACTGTTACTTCCTTTTGAATTTTATCACTATGAACACAGAAATGCCATATTCAGAATATGAGAATGAGACAAATCTATGACTTAAACATTCACAATTAAGCTTGTTTGGACAGTATTACCCAGATCAATTAAAAAAAAAAAAAAAAAAAAAAAAAAAAAAAAAAAAAACAACAAAAAAACCAAACAATTAACACTTAGAAAACTTTTATATACAACTTGACTACACCCACTCACTGACTGTAAAAGGGTTAGTTATGCTTTAGCAGGTACTTTTACACAAATATGTGCATGTAAAACTGAAGCAAAGTCATCTACCAATGCACTTCCCTTGCTTAAACAAATCCCTCTGGCAGCCAAACCTACTGCAAACTGTTTAGCTATTCAAACAGCAAAGCCATAGTGATTATGTCTAATGAAACAAATTGAGAAGTCGATTTCYTCACCCAGCTGAGTAAATCTTCTCTAAGCACAGGGCATCCAGGCACACACTTGGACTGAACCGGAAAGCATTCATGTACCAGGGACACTTGCAGATGGTCACACAACCTTTTAACCTGTTTTTAAATTGAAAACACTTACCCCTTCCTCTAACTTTCACATCTGACTCCTCTCAAATTCAAGCCAGCTACACTTTGACCAGAACCAGCTCAGCACTGGTAAGATGACAAGGATAGGAGGGCTGCCTCAGCAAGAGAAGAGAGAGACAGGGAGGAATTGCAACAGCACTGTTTCTGGAGAAATGAGCTGCTTCTCCCTCTCCCACCAGCCTGAGAGCTGGCCTGCTTGAAGCAGGATCACAGTCAAGTCAYGCTTTTGCCCTGGGTCTACTGTTGACCCTGTTCTACCTCTATAAAAAGGTAAAACCAGAAGTCATGCTCACGCTGTGAAGCAGGTCTTGTTTTGAGAAGCTTGAAGGTAAAGGTGCCCACAAAATTAGAACTTTTTCTGGTCTTCCAAAGTCCCAAAACTGACAAGGAGATCAAGAATAAAATCAAAGAAGCACAAGGCCACAAAACCTTATTTATCCTGTATTATATTATTACCTAAGCAATCACCCATGAAAACACTGGATTCAATAGTGACTACCGCCCTCACTTTTTGAGAATTTACATGGAAATTCAGTGGTGAATGTCAGATAAGTTTCTCAAGCTCTGCTCTCTCCTTTTGCACTCATYAGCCTCCCTGGCTCCTTCCCAGAAGCACTCAGCACCGTGCCCTTGCTGAGACAGAAGGAGAGGGTGACTGGCACCYGAAATCCCCTCCCAAGTGCCCCACTCCAGGCATCCAAGAGGGACTTGCAYGGTCCATGACCTGCACAGAGGCTGGGCTGACACTGGAAGGAGGGTCACAGCACTCACTCTCTGCTGCAGACAAAAAAGACCCAGTACAAAAATGACATGCTTAGCTGTAGGCCAAAAAAATCTCTATATACGAACAATACTTTAAACTTCAATGTAAGAACTGTCCTTGAAAAGGAGAATTTTAATTCTGGGTTGAGAGAAGCATTTCGCTGAGAATTTCTGAAGTGAGAATTTTCCAAGTGAGGATTCCACACYATGCAAATCAAGAACTACAGTCTCAGTGATCTCAGTTTGTCACCTAAAGATCTTAAATCTGCTTTAATTTKTCATGTCATTAATACCTTAACGAAACTGTATCATGTATAATTTTCTTTGGCTTTTGCATAGTATTAACAAAGATATCACAACTTTTATATTAATGCTAACAATTCAGGTGTATTACTACATACACTGATAGGCTCATGTGATACTCAGAAATTCACTTTCAGCTTTTGAATGTTCTTTTCACACCTGTGGCAGATGTTAGAAACAACTAACAAAATGCAAAAAGCAAGAACACATTGATCTAGGCAGGGATGCTATTGCACCATATCCAAGTATCTTAGGAGATCAAGTTCACATAGGAACTGCTAAAAAGTTCAGACTTTCTAGAAGCCAGAGGACATTTTGCCCAGTTAACATCAAAAGGGCCAGACCTYAGGAAATTATAAACTCATTAAAGAGAATTATCTTRCTAYACCTGCTTACTAAAAATTAGTTCAYTGATGCTGCTGTTTGATATGCAGATATTACCTTGGAAAATTTTCCTGTTATTATTTAATATCAGACATTCTATTCCTGTGCTATCCTTCTCCTAAGTTTCTTTCACAGATATTTCGAAACTATTTTCTTTCTTTTTTCCCTTTGTTTTTTTGGTTTTTTTTACTGATTTGCACTTACATTTGATTTATACTTTCACATGAAAGTTGGATCCCATTAAGATGTCTTWTCAGTGCAAAGTGTGTCCACCATCCCTCCATGAGCTCATAAATTATGAAAATGCAGTGCATTCTGTTGGTACCAAATCTATAGCAASATTTATAAAGCAGATACTTTTCCCACCTAATGAACCATAAAAATAACACAGTGCATTCTCTGTCAATTAGGAAAAAAAGTTATCAAACTTGGGAGATACAAACACTTTATCTCAAAATGCTGGAATSAGTGTTTTAAGGCATGTACCAGCCTTTTTGCAATAGAAATTTAACAAAATAGATGTTAATCTAGGTAGTAGCAAACTGGCAATCCAAAGGAACAAGCACAGTCAATTTCAACATTTTTCAAGATACATGGTGGTAATAATAATAATAGTAGTAGTAATAATAATTTTTTGCTTAGCAGTTACTTTTAGAGGCTCCCTT